GTTCCAGTTTAGGACACTTACATTTAATTCGCAGAAAAAACAACTCTGTAAACATACAGAAATTAACTAATAAAAAAAATCTACTGGAGAAAACTGTAAAGGGAGCTTTGTGATCAATCTTAGTGAAGGCAGTCAAGTGTCAAAGGAATTCCTTACAGGAACAAAATCAAAGTAGGTAAGATATGGATGCCTCACACGAAAATAGAATGTTTTTACTATGATCTTCTTTATGCATTTTGTCTCAACAAGCCATAGTCTTTACTTCTATTCCTCATCTTAGTAAAAAACTGTTCATTTTTTAGTTTGAGATATTCTTTATAATTGAAACCAAAATCAATACCTGAAAATATGGTTCATGGCAAAAAAGCAGCAACTTTAGATCCAAGTGCCGGGTTATTTCAAACACACATAATGTTACAATCAAACTGCAGATATTTCCACTGCTGTGACTTATTCAACAAAACATTTCTGCTTCATTGAAGCAAAGAATGTGTTTATTTCCTGGAACATGTAGAGACTAGTTTCCCAAGCTTCACAGAATGGTATCCCTCCCCCATCCTGTCCCCTCTCAGCTTCCCATGCTCTTTGCTCGATGTCATGAAGACAAGTAGCAGTCCTGGAGAAGGAAGAATGATTTTGACTGGAGTACCTGTGCAATTTTTTATGGTGTAAAAAACTATATGAGGAAAAAAAAAAGGACGAGTCTGTTTTTTAGGTGGCAGTTTGGCTGTAAAATGCTATCTTGGTGCCTAGGTGTTAATTTCCTCACTTCCTTGATTCTTGCAATTTATTCCAACTTAACTGTTTGTACAGCCAAATTCTACACGGAATTTGCACATAACAGGGGAGCACCATTGACTGGATTGGTCCAGAAAGGAAGTACTAGGAACTATTTTTTAAATACATCTCAAAAAGTTCAGTGTCACAGGCTCTTCTGCTTAGTAGAAAGCCTGTTCAGAGACTAAAGAATTCTTGTGATTCTGGTGCTTTTCTGCATTTTGAATTGAACAATACAACCAAAACCACTTGTTAGAATAGCTGCCATAGCCAAGCTGATAAAAAATTCTATTGCTTTAATTTTAATCTGCCATCTTCTTATGGGCAAAAGATGATAAGGAGTATGGTTCCTAATTTTTTTGTTTGTTTGTTTATTTGCTAAGACAGACTAGCTGAAAACATCATGCTAGTTCTAAGAAAACAATGATAATTTTTGGAAAATCTTCTGGTCCTTACTTGAACTATTCCCTCATGTCTCCTTAACTTGTGCCACCACAAGCATTCTGGGGTTAACAAACTCATTAGATTTAAAAATAACCTTATAAAGGGGGTTATTCTGATTCTTTTTCTATCAAAGAGATTCACCATCTAGCTTACTTAAGAGTTGCATTAACAGTTTAAGCATAACCATTGAGAAAGCACAACACTGGCCTGAGCAGACAGGAGAGTGAACTCTGCAAACATAAATTGGTGCTGAGAAAAAATAATCATTTAACTATATCTACATCACTGTTTTACCACTTTTGGACAGCCAATGCTACCCTCTATTCCAGAAATTACATCTTTGATTGATTAGGGTTTCACTTTAATTCCCAATTCCAAGGAATCCCTTACTGTCATTCAGTGGAGAAAAAAATATCTTCAGGTGAGAAAAACATCTTCAGTTCACAAAGTGATCATAAATAGTAAGTTTAAAAATATGTTTTCATTTCTAATGTTTAGATGCTGACCCTGTACATAGGATTGGTATTTACTCTTTATTTTCCTGAACTAAGTAAATTAAAGTATAACTATATCACTGTGTATTTAATTTTCTGACATCCTAAAAACACACATAAGTCATTGTGTCCCCTTTAAAGTTTACACAAAGGTGATAGCAATTCTCCTGGCCTCTAATACTCTCTTTACTTGTTCATTATAGAATCCTTTCAACTTTGCCTCTAGCAATTCACAAACTCATTTTTTCATGAGTAAATATTTAAACCAGATCTGTTTTAAAATGTCTACTGAAAGAAGATAAAAGCAAGTATTTAGATTTATAGCTAACCAGGTAATAATCAACTGCTACCAGAAAGAACTCTATCCATGTCTCAGCTTTAACATGAACCTGTAGTCCAGGTAGGGGGCTGTGAGCTTTTGTGCCTTTATGGTAATGTTCTTAAGCAAACAAAAGATTGCCACACACCTCGCGGGACAATTAATTCATTGAAATGGGACATTTAAACTTTTCCTTTTCATCTGTAATACAAGAGTTAGCTGCGCTAATATTTGACTTTCTGTTTCGCAGTGGAAAGAGAGAAGGATAAGAAAGGCAGAGAATTAGAACTCAGTTCTCTGATCATTGAGACCTTGTCCCACACACTAATGGTCTGTCTCCATTTAACTTCGAGTAACACAGACTTAACTATCAAAATATATTCATTATTGAAATAAATTGCAAACATTTTCAGCATTAAGTGGGAAAGGTTTGCCCTCACACACTGTTATTTATACTTCCTTACAGACTCACGCTCTTGACTTGGTCTTAAATTTTCCTCTATTTGATGTTAAGTAAAACTCAAAAGGATTTCCATTCACTTAGAAACTGTAGGAAAAACTTCCTAGGCTGTTCTGAGAAAGGCATGTACACTCTTCAAAATTGAGGCAGCTTATGTCAGAGGCCTGAAGAACCAATACACAAATTCCCAAAAAAAGCTTTCTGAAAGCCACAGTGACAGATAATAACTGTACTTCATGGTAGGACTTCCGTTATTTAGGATTTTAAAGAATTGTTAGTTTGCAAATAACAAACATTTTGGTGATTTCAAACTTTTTATTATCTCTTCTATAAAAGCTAGAAATACTTGCCAATTCTCACAACTTTGCTGTTACCACTTCTGTTACTTAGTCAATGGTTTTGTCACATCCATGCGAGCAGGGAACAAAAACGTCTCTTATCTGGATTTACCACTGCAGCTTGTGCCAGAGAAAATGCTCTTCTCCATGGGGTTGCCTATTGCCCATTTAAAATTAGTAACAGTTTCCTAATGGCTCAGTTTAGGATCCAAGCTTAGGCTTAATTACAGAAGCCAAATCACTATAAACTAAACAACTCTGAGTTATTTCAAAAGACTTAGTAACTGTTCTTTCATCCCTTTTAAAAAAATAGTAATTTGTGATTTTAAAAAATATGAAATAGACATGAGTCACTAACTACAGTCAAAGCAGAGTGCAAAGGAAGGTAATTTCTTCTTCCCTATCTTTGATTGTGCCAGACAACAGAATTCATGTTTGAAGAACATAATTTCTTAGAAGAAGGGAACAAACAATAAAAGAGAAAAAATATATAAAATGAATTTATGAATTAGAGATCCTAGATGAGAGAAAAACTGTTGCACTTTAGATTTCACTAACTTTATTTGTAGATAAAAAGAGTGAAAAAGATGAAGGGGATAACACTTAATTTGCCCAATTGAAGCAATTAAAATACATGTATATAAGAAATGGTCTGTTTGGGTTCAAACTCTGTCTAGAAATACCTTCTGCAACTCATCAAATTTGAAATTATTTGCTCCAGAAGTCAAGATCACCATTTCACTCTTTGCATCCAACCTGACAGTGTTTGCTAGGAAGAACGTACTTTCTAAACATCGTTAAGGTATCGTTTTGGCTGCACTTCAAAAATAGCTGAACGTTTTTGAATTTGCTTTCAAAGCTTGTGTTGTACATGGGCAGGAGTGTCTTCTGAAAACACTGGAACTTATTTGACTTAGTCTTTTTATAGAAATCTGATTTACTGGTTTTGGATGTTGCAATCTTTAATACTGCAATTTTTTATAAATATGGTTTCCTGTCAATTTCTCTTATGGTTTGAGAGAATTTCACTATATATCTGTGAATTAGAATAATTGAGATTTTATTAAAGATTCTGTCTGAAAAATCAAGTTTTATAGGTTTATTACCCAAAAGGCACTAAAATTTGAACGGAAGCAAAAGAAGGAAATCTAGCTCATTCAAAAAAGACTAAGCAATATATGAAATGCTCAAGAATCCTTATTTCATTGAAATTAATATAATATAAAACTACTGAAAAGTATGATTTTAATGCACAGTTCTATATTCTTGCTTCTATCTTAATTTTACACAATTAAAAAAAAGAAAATATATTTATAAGAAACAGTGTGTTTTTATTAAAGTAGCATGAAGTATTTCATGAACATGACAATTTATTCTTTCTATAAACAACTGTTGCTGTTTCAAATAGGGGAAAAAACTCCTAAAACATAACTACTCAGTTACAGAAACAAATGAGTAAAGTCAAGGTTTTCCACATGATTTTGTTGAATCATATTTATTTTTCATATTATAAAGTAGACAGCAATCAATGCAAAAGTACAAGTCATTTTTTCATTGAATTATATATTTGATGGGATGTAGACCATAAGCAGTCTTAGGAAAAGTAGCAACAAGGCTTCTGTTGCAGAATAAAGAGGTTCTTGCCTTTTGAAGAGATTCTAATTCTCTCATTGGCAAAAAAACAAATAGAGAAACCAATTACTTCTTCAGGTATATAGCAATATAAAGACATTTATCTATATTATTCTCTCTCATTGTAACCTTAGTAGAAAGGTTATTTTTAAAGGTATCAACAAATTACCCTTCTGGGATGTCAGGAAAGGATTCACAGTTGCTGAGGCCTACCTGATAGTAGGCAGAGGGTCTGGGAAAATTGCCTTTCTTTTGGCATTAACACAAAACAGAAATTAAAAAATTAAAGTCACAACATCAGAAGTGGAGTCAAGACTCCCTGAACATGGGCTATGACAGGAACGTTTATTCCACAAGCAACTGGTCATTTCAGGGAACTTCTCAGTGATAGTATTGGATCTGTTGAAATGTTTTAACAAAATCATTTCCTACCAAAAAATTGAATTTTAAAAAGGATTCATAACTGTGACTGTTATTGTCTTTCCCAGGCTTCGAAGTTAAAAGGGAAAACACTCTAAAGCAAAACCAACACTTACAGTGAGGCTCATAGGGAGGAGGAGGATCACCACAAGGAACACATTCCATGTCTTGAAACCCTCCAAGCTTAGTCTTCCTATAAAATCTAGAAGACAAAGAATAAAAAGAAAAACCCAGTTAATCAAAAACCAGTTATTTTTTTCCCACAAAATTAATCAGGTGTTTTAACAAAGTCTTCTATACTTGTAAATTTTGTCAATCTGTGCAAATTATTAGGAAATAGAAGAAAATAAAAGTAAACAAAATACAGTAGATACTAATTAATAGTACAACAGCAGATCTAAAGTAAACTTAGGAAAAATCTAACTCTGTTAGTCCAACTGCATAGTCACTATAATCTTATATTTACAGAAGAAATAAACAACTCTGGAGATTTCAGACAGAAATCAATATCCAATATCATTATTCCACATAGACCACAACATACATGACATGTATGAAGAAACTTACCTTATGAAAACTTACTTACACATCTAAAAAATAAAAGGGAACTGTTTAATCTATATAGTTCTCCTAAAACAAATAAGATATTAAAGGTAATTATCACCACTAGCAATATATAATGGACCAGATGTCAGTGACATTTTATTCTAAAGACCCTCCAAGAACTTTATTACTGAGTTTATGTTTGAAGAGCTTACTGACTACAATGACTGGCAAAACCCTACATTCCTAAAGCAGGGAACAAGAGTAGCAGCAAATAAACCCCCAAAATTTAAGTGTGTGATATTTCAAATCTGCATGTATGATATCCTCTAAAGAACTTATCTATAGTAGGTCTGTCTGTCTTTCAACCAGTCACTAGTACTACAGTAGAATCAGTAGCTGTGGCCTCTTCAATATAAGTACATAAATTAAGTGTTTCTGTAGTGGCAGTGGCACACTAAATAAAAGGTACTAACTCTAGTGATGTTATATTACTAACACTGCAAATGCCATTAAAGTATGAAGTCTGTATCAGCTAAAACAAACAGCTTTCCAATTGCTCAAGAAGCCCATGCTTTAACAATGTGAACAGAAACAGATCCATAGGCTGCAAGACTGAAGGGGGCCTCTGTGATCTTTTACTCTGAATGAAATGTGTTAATATTTGTTTTTAGCTGACATGCTCACTGTAGTGTTTTGAAGGTGAACAATAGGGAATGGCATGTTGGAAACCCATGCAAAACAGAAATAAATATGATTGCTGAGAGGTAAAACATTAGCTACACCATTTGGTTTGGCTAGCTCTATCTTCCATTTGCTTAGGCAGAATCTAAACTGAAGGACAAGTACGAGCAGTGGTGTATTCTACAGTTCTGTTACCCAAAATCTCCAGACTAGATGACCTGTGACTACCCTTGCCATGAATGACTGCCTCCCTCCTCACATTTCCAACTTAGTTGCCAGTAAATGCAAGTTGTGGAAAGAGCTCTCATTTTAATACACACTCAACACACATATCTAGAATGCATTCTAGACCAGGATACTGAGAAGCATTCCCAGCTCCTGGGAAAGCAGTTGAGAGTAACATCTAATGCCTGAGGCTACACCTTCTTATACAGTGACTTAAACTAACATTAGTTACCAAAGCATTACTAAGTGTTTTTAAATGAAAAGACCTCACTTCTGGCTTAAGAAAGAATAACAGAAGGAGCTTCAACACTGTTCAGGTATTAGATAGTTAGTATTTAATAATTAAATTAAACAGATGCATATATATATATATATATATAAAACAAATATATGAACTTTTAAGCATGTCTGAAATATATACGCTGAAAATACAAAGGCTGTTATTATTGCAAATCAGTTCTCATAAACTACTCCCATCAATTAAACTACCAGTCAATGGTTAAAAAAAGCAGCAGAAATGCCTTTTTACAAATTCATGGCAGGTCTTTATAATATCAGAACTTGGCCACAATGTAAAAAATAGCCTTTTAGAGATCTTAACATTTAATACTACGAACAGAGAAGATTAGCAACAGAGATCTGGGATGACTAGACAACAAATTCAGCCAGGATCATGCTCTAAGAATTTATTGACATGGTGAAGGAAATTCAGGCACATAAACCACAGCCACTGCTTTTGACTTAAGAACATTTGTGCATGAGAATTATTAAGCATTGACTTAAGGAGGGGAAGAAAAACCAAGTAAATAATGTGATCAGTTTTCAAGAAGGCAATTGTGCATGTTTACAAATATTTAATTCTTTATAACAATGAAGTAAGACACCAGTAAAACTTAATGTTTTGATGTATTTTGCTCAGGTGCTGCATAGACAATACTCTCATTGACCAAGCAGATAATTATCCAACCATTTTTACAGACGAGACAATTAAGACTGCAATTCTGAAATTAAATGCTCAGATAATACAGGAAATTGTTGGCAAGGCCAAAATTAGAACCTAGGACCTTCACACACACGCAAAGGATACAATCATTTATCTGGAAAACATGAAAAAGCCATTTTAATGCAAATTAGTTTTGAATTTGTTCAAGTCTCATCTTCAGAAATGGGCTTACCCTGGTAAACAGTCTCCACATAGTGCATTGCTGGTGGCAGAACAGTTGGCCTTCTGAAACCGGTTAACTAATGCACAGTCCAGACAAGGCTTGCACTTCTGAAAGCCCCAGTCTTCCTTGAATCTGTTTGGCCTGCATGTCATGCACTGTGCATCCTCCCCATATCCAAAGCCGCATTCCTGTAGGGATTAACAAGCAATAGCAAGCTATTCAGTCACAGAAAACCTGAACAAGAAGAAAATGCTGGAATAAAATGAAGACCTAGAATAATTATTACCGAGAGTAGGTCTCCCTTGAGACAAAAGCCATCCTTTCAGCAAGTTCAAATGTGTTTTCCACTACTAATAATCTCCCTTACTTTTATAAGTAATACTTAGTCATCCACTTTATTCATGAAACCACTGTGTATTTGAATGATAAAGGGCTTCAAGGACTCCCACAGTTTCATTATTACTAGCTTATGGTAGAATTATTGAGCTGTCTGTTTTTTAATTAGGTCAGTCATGTGAAAGTGCAGAAACTGGGACAAGTGAAGTATAAAGGCACTTACTCAGTTACAAAAACAGCAAAGAAGCATTTTGATATTAAGGTTCATAGCTAAGGTGAACAAAGTTAATTGCCGAAGAGAGTGCACTGATCTTCAAAGGCTTACAATTTCTGTTACCAAATAAACCAGAGCTAGTTAATGACCATCAGCTAGGCATGAAACGTTGCTTAGCCACTAAGAATTTCAGAAACTCGATCCGCTCCAGTCCTAACAGTTCTTAAACTGTTGGAAAAGTTCAACAGCTCTGCAGATGTGCATGATATTTTACTACACAAGGAATACTGTTATGGTTAGTTTTTTATCCCAGATTTAGCAGTTTGAAGAAATTATTTCCATTCATTTGCAAAAGAACAGCTAATACCACTGACAAGCTGCAAAGAAAAACACTTCACCCAACAATACATAATAGTTTGGGGACTGAATTCTGTGAAGTGATTATCAAGAACTATCAATCTACTTCTTTAGATTTATCAAGTTACTAAGAGTTGCTATTCCCTTTTATCATCCAAATACACAAATAATTTTTTTCAGTACTTTGGAGTTAAGATTTGATGCATTAATGACACACTGGAAAACAGGAAGAGGAATGCAACAGATTGCTGGAACAGACTTATTGGGGAGAGAGTAGGTGGGAAAGGCACAACATGGGGACCTTGTTCTCCAGTATATGGTTTCAGTGGAAAAACAGGGATTTTTCCCAGTGGGAAAACTGCAGGAAATCTTCAACTTGGGTAGCTTAAAAGAAGGTTTCCACCACAACATATGAGCGTTTCATACATGTAAACAGCTTTTCCCCAAGTCACTGGCCCAAACTAATCTGCTGCAGTAAAAAAAAAAGCTTTGAACCTTAGAAACATACAAGATTCTCCAAGGTTTTGCACTGAGAAAGCATCTGTGGGGAAAGTTCTGCGATGGAGTTGACCAATATGTATTTTATAGTTCTTCTACGCTGAAACAATCAAGTAGCTATACACAACTTCAGATGCATTTTACTGAACATTCTAAGAATTTTCAGTTTTCCTTTATGTCAAGAATAACTTTACTCTCCTCTGAAGAACAAGCCCTCAAAGTACACAGAAAACAAACAATTCTATGAAAGCAACTACAAACAGACACTAAAAATAGTTTTCCTTCTCTGTCTCTAGAGCCAGGAACTTAAAATGTTTTAATTTTTGGTTTGCTTTCTTTAGCTGAAATGTAGCTTATTACTCAGTCAAATGATGTATATTCAATCTTTTGATAAATCACTTGGAATCAGTCCCTCCCAAGTTCCTAGTAAACTTTCAAATATAAGGCTTAAATTAACTTAATTATAAGTTTTCCTTCCCAGACTACCTTTGAAGCTTCTGATCAAAACCAAGCAGGAAATAAAAGTTAGAATTAAATTCCTTCACTCACTGGCCCAAACTGCCAAAGCCTGAGTAAATTGTTTCTAGATCAGATCTGCTTTGCTACAGCTGGATGCATGGACACATCTTAGTGGTCCTTTATATCACGGAATGGTTTACTTAAAAGCTATAAAAATGGTGGATGGAATATAAAGAAATCTTCTGCCTAAGGAATTTACAATCTCCAGTCTTTTCAAAGACAGCTTCCAAGTCCTTGCCAGGAATTCTTCAGATACAATCCATAACAACTACAACTTATGTATGTGCTTTTTATGTTCACATAATATTTGAGGTAGTTAACTGCCTGGCAGGTGCAAATAAATATTTAAGCTTGTAAACCAGGCAGAACTTCAAACAGATCTGTATTCATAATTAACCACATTCCCCAAACTGAAGGATATGATTTAGACGATGGATTCAAACTCTTTGAAATCCTGGACTTTATAATTTAGCAGTCCAGCAAAGATACAAACAATTGACTGTTCATCTTTTATAAGTACATGTGCAAAACTGATGTGCACTATTTTTTTCAGTGCTCTATTTACAAAGCTGTCAAGTTATATGGCTGATGAGATCTGAATAGTTCCCAACTCCCCTCACCCCTTCTATCCTCCCACTCATATTTTTAAAAGAGAGCTCATCTGTGGCAGTTCACCTCAGGACTGCAGAAAAGAGAAATAAAACCTGTAACATCAATTAGTTAGATTTCAAAAAAACATTTTTTATTTTTGTGCCAGAAAAAAAGAGCACATAAATATATGCTTTGTTCTTCATGTTGTGAAGCTTTCTGTGAAGAACACTTAGCATGCTCTTCCCTTCCCTCCTCTTTCACTTTTCAATAGTACCAGGTAACATTAACAAAAAATATCTCTCTCAAATGACACATACCACAAGCCATGAGAAATGAAACACTAATCTAGAAAACTGCCATTAAAATTAATTACAAAAGAAAAAATCTTCAAAATTCAAATGCACCTCTATTTTCTCGATACCTATAGAGTTTTCACTATTAGGCTACTGTGACATCTCACTACCTTTAAGATATGTATCTCCAGAACAATTTTGCTCAGAAACAAACTTCAGGTATCAAGTGGGGTGACTGGTCAAGGCCACCTAGGAATCTATAGTAAGGTAGTTAACTAAATGCATAATTTAGTTTCAAGCTAAAAGTATTGAAAGCATTGAATAATATAGACACCTCAAAGAACTACCACAGCACAGACAAAATTTTCTTTCAGTAGATACTATCCAAACATTGATTCAGACAGAACAAGCAAAAGTATAGCAGACTATAAAGGCCTAAGTGGTATGGTTTTCCCCTAAAAGCTGAATCCAACAGAGAAAGTAAATGAACAGTAAATTAAATTTTAAACATTCTTTCAATTAAAATAACCTCATATTTCATTAAAAAAATGCTTTCAGGCATCATTAAGATCATAATCTGCAAGCACATTTTAGAATTTGTTTCTAGTTTTAACTGATTATCCACAACCTACATAGGTCCCTAGACAACAGAGCACAGAAAGTTCCACTTAGGCCACGATGATTACAAGAATATTTGGGTATTCAAGAAAAAGTCTTCCAGGCATTAAGACACTTCTAATTGATGTCAGGTCATATAACAGGTTGCGGAACTACACTGGTGCTGGGAAATGAAATCTTTTCTAATACCTTTGAGTACATGTCCTTGTTAAATAGCACGGGGTTTCAGCTTCCTGAAGTACCACAGGCTGTGGAACAACCTCATCTAGAATCCAATAATGAGCTGTATCTATCAGCAGAGGTCTCTGAGCAGGACAGGCTGCAACACTGTGCTGCAGACATGTCAGACTTAGCTGCTGTGACAAACTGCAATGTTAGGGTCAGAAAAGTTTCATTCTCGCTAAGATTCAACATGCTACAGGAGCATACTCAAGGAGCTTCCATGCAACTTACCCAGAGGCATGCGTTAGCCTCTCCTGAGCTGAGATATGGCAGAGCTTCATCATAAGCAGCTCTCTTGCTGCTTATTAAAAGTTAGAGTGACTGCTAAACATGGTAGCAGCTGCTCTGGGTAACTCCACTGGGACAACATGACAGTCATGGCACACCACCTCTGATGTTACAGAGGTGTGTAAGGATTGTTACATTCAGGAGTAGTTTCCAATAGTACCTCCATATTTAATTGATAATTCCTTTTTCTGAGACAACATGCAAGTCTCCTCTTTCTTCATCATATACCTGGTGCAAGGAAGCAACCTGCGATACATAGCCCTGCCTTAGCAGCCATCAAGCTGGCTCTCTCTCACTGGCTCTCTGTACAGCAGCTCTCTTGGTGACAGTATTTGTCACAACTTATGTGGTGACAATGCTGGCTTAAAGCACTCTCCCTTTCACCTCTTGCTTTTTCTTCCTTCCTTGTCATATATTGTCAATATAAATTCTTAGCTGCAATATAAGCTTGATGAAGCTGAGATATGGATTGTTTTTACATATATACAAATATATAGATACATATAAATTTTAAAGAGACATGGAAGCCATAGAGTTACGCACATTTTTTTTAAAAAGCAAATGAAAGGTGAAAGGACCCAAAGGACTCTTGTTTCCGTACTTGAACATTTTCAAGAAAAAGGCTGAAATACAAACGATCCCAGTTTCTTTTTTCTGCATTAACTGTGATTTGTATAAATTTGAATCATATATAAGGTTTGATTTCATTCAGAAACACATCGAAGAGAGGACAAAAGGCTCTTGCTGCCAAGCCCCACTAATCACTATTCATACACTGGCAAACTGAAGCCACTTAAAGAATGAAAGATATTAAATCACTTGCTTGACTACATGATGCTTTGCTTCCTATTAAATGAATGACAAATGAAATAACACTGAGCTACATGAAGAAAACACTTCCCTTTGAATCAATACATCATTTTAGTCTCCCACCCCAGAAAATAAAGCACCGCTTAACAACAACAAAACCCCAAAAAACCCAAACAAACAAAAAAACACAACAAAAAAGCCAAATGAAAAACAACTCATAACAAAACCCCCACACAGTCAAAAGCAAGCTATTTCAGTGGCTCAAAGGCTTTGCAAACATTACCAAGGACACACGTTTATGAAAATAAAAGGCTATATAGAGATTTTTCTTTTTTTAAATGAACAAATAAAAGCAAACATGGAAAGCAGCTTTCACTCCCTTCACCATCAGTTCTAAATTCTTGATACACTAACAAATCTGGCTTTCTTCTGATGGCAATATGTTAAAAGTACTTCATAAAAAATACAATCAACATAAGTGATCAATGGATTTTATTCCTAAGCTAATGCGACATCTGCAGCACTGTTGTTAGAAGAGCTGATAGGGAATCAGAAAGGAAAAGCTGAGAGTGTACTATTTTTTCTTATTTCACAGAAGAAAAAAATTACTATAACAACATTTTTGAAAAGGAGAGCCCCACTAAACTATGACAGCAAAAGCTGAAAAGAATAGTTTAGATTCAGAACTAGTTGCATGAAATAAGGTTGGATTTTTGGTGGTTTGGTTTAGTTTTGTTTCATGCTATCAAGGGTGTATGGAGTTGCTTATCTTTACAGACAGGAAGGTCAATTGAATAGGTTGAGCACTGGTTTGCAACTTAAATTAAACACTCGTCATAGAATCACAGAACAGCCAAGTGAGTGGGTACCCTGAAAGAACACCTGTTTCATGGTTTCTTGGGTCAGGGACCTGAACTGAGATGATCTTGCACCCTGTCCAATAGCATCCTAAAAACTTTCAGTGATGGGCATTCTACCATGTTCCTGGGGAGGTTGTCGCAGTGAATGCATGTTCTCATTGTAAAAACATTTGTTCTAATATAGAAATAAAACCTGCCTTCTGGTACAACTTGCGCTCATTGCCCATTGTCTTGTCCATGTGGTGCCTTGTGAAGAAGGAACTTCTGTCCTCTTGTTCCATTCTACGGCCTCTGTCTACTCTGTTCCACCAAAAAAAATCCTGCCTTTCCATGGGCAAGTTGATTTATGCATATTTCATGTATAAATTGAGAAAAGGCAACAGCATTTCCCCAACTTAGAGAGGTATGAAATGCTCACACAGTATAGCAACAAAGGTCATATATGTATTACTGAAGTTGTAAATAATAGTTGTAAAAAAAGGATATATACACACACACGTATATATATAAATCCACTCTGTACATGTGGTATTTTGTCTTCTATTTTTGTATAGCCATTTATAACAAGAAAAAAAATCTACATATTTAGATTGTAACTAAGATGAAGTAGTTTCTCATAAACAAGAGCAAACCGAGGACTCTACAGTTCAGTCCTTGACATTGGACCTGTCTGCTTCAGTTTAACCAGCAGGAGAAGTTCTACCTGAACTGAGTTTCAAGGGAAGGAATTAAGGACATATGTTTACATTAATGGTTCACATGGTCCACTGCTGCATGACCCAATAGCTGGGCTTTTATATTCAACAATATAGGCTGAGATGTTTTATTACAAACAAAAACAAACTTGTCTGTCAATTGCTTAAAACATTTAGGGGGAAATAAACCAAAAAAACCTACCGCTAACATTGTATTTCACTATATTCTCAGACATACAATCATGCTCACATATCCAGCAGTATTTCTAGTTTTACCCATGAGCACTAAATATTTGATAGGAAAACAGACATATTGCTCAGTATTAAGAAACTGTTATTAAACTACAACATGATTACATCATTACTTTCTCATATGTAAAAAACCCAAGCAAACAAAACTCCTCCTGTGCTGCAAATTACTTAAAGTGTAATATTAAATCCCTTTTCCCCTTGCATTCTGACCTTTGACTTAACATACTTGTTGCTTCAAGCTGTAGCTCTGCAAGCCTACTTTCAACCACATTTCAGTAACAGCCACAGCATAACATCCTTCACTATGATTCACAGAAAATTGTGTCTCTATTTATAAAGGAAATTATGCTTCCATTCACATTTAGGTTTGACCAAAATCTCCTTAGTTATTTCAGTTCTAGTGTAATAGAAAAAAATATTTTTGAAAGGTGATTAATATCTGGGAGAAGTAACTGCCTACATATTAAAATCAACTAAGCATTCATATTTTAAGTCCTAAGAATCAGGACTAACAGCTGAAGTAAAAACATAACTTGAATAGTGTACTATTGCAAACTGTGACCTCCTTGTTTTAGTTTAGTGTTCCTTTATTAAATTGGGAGCAATTACTGAAGGCATTAGTTTTTATGCTTTCGGTTTTTATTTGCCAACTAGTTAAGTAAGCTTCATTGATGGGCATAGTACTGGCCCACTGTTATAAAGTGCCATATTTACAAGTGCCTTTATAATTAAAACACCTCCTAGAACCTTTGAGTTCACAAATTTAAAGACAATCTGAAAAACCCAAAACATCCAAACAAAACCACATCCATGTTGTAAGTCATGTTCAAATCTCCGCTTCAACAGCACTGCGTGCATGACTAAACCTTAACTAATACTGCCTGACATAAAAAGCAATTCTCACTAAAGTGTGAAACTAAGTATTCTGTCAATGCACTGAACACTCACCACAGGGGGTGGAGAGATAGGGAAAATGTGTCACTCAATTTCACTAAATCCCTTCAAACCATACACAAAAACAGTACTTAACTTGTGCTTTTTTTTCAGAGCTGAATATAGTAAGAAATACAAAGCCATAAAACGAAAGCTAGCTGTAGTTTGAACACACACGCACACTAGACTTAGTAATGGCTCATGTTAAATTTCCAAAACATTTTAAATCCCCCTAAACACCCTAAATTCTACCTCTAACATTCTTTTTAGACTTTCAGTAGAAGAACAATACAGAGTTTGCCCTTCAATATGCAAAGGGCATGTGCTTTATGGCCCCAACCTATCGGGTGTGGATTTGACTGTACAGTTATGTCTTGGTCACAGTTTTACACTCTATAAAGATGGACAAGATGTAGTTTAGTGGCTGGACACTGATAAAAGATCCTTATGCTTATGCATGAGTCTTGACAGGACTGCTCACCCTTCATGACACCACCCTGCACTCTTTTTTGCCTGACCATCTTCACATCTCTAGCATGACACACCTGTTCCCCCAAAACACCCACTCTCCCCATGGCAAATAACTTATTCTGTTGTCTCTTTCACCTCCAGTAATTGAGTGAGTCCCAACATATCCCTGCCTCCTCCTTTCAGCTTTGTCTTCCTTCATTGTTCTTCATCCTTGTTCATACACAGCACCTACATCCTCTGTGCTGAAAAGAACAAAGATCCCCCTCATGACTTGCATACAGACTTGAAATTTTGTTGAAAATTTTGCCAAATGAACTTTCTAGTTCTACTGAATATAAGTCCATAACCTCAGTCAGCATTCATTCCCATTAATTCATTTCTGCTCTCCTAAAAAAGTTGGTAACTCCAAAACTTTTATGGGATTTTCTTTTGGAAGACATGGAATTGTTATATAAGCAAAAAACAATTACAAAACCCTCAAAATAATAATATTTTCTTCTCCGTGACATTAACAAAGACTTCTTATGTGTTTTCTAAATATTATCACGTATTTTTCTGGCCTCAACTTTCTTTATGTGGAATAAAGACAGGAATTAGGTTTATAGCATTTTTAGTAATTTGTGAAACACAGAAATCGAGCCTGACTCGACTCTAGCTTCCCAAAGTGCTCTAACCACTGACCTAGTAAAAACAGAACAATCACCTATCTCTGACCTCTTCTAAGGAAATATGTCAGCTCTCACTTGTATCCTACCCTGTATTTATGTACTTATGACTTATTTTTATTATAAACCATGCTGTTATGACAATCTGCCATGTAGATAATATTTAAACATTGTCACTTAAAATCCAGAACCAACTGTGAATGTCAGCATTGCAAAAATTAAGCCCCTCCCCATTTCAGTAGTCTGTACCAATCACTAGTTTGAAATTCCTTTTTCATATTCTTCTGGAAACAGTGAGGTTATTCAGTCTTAACTTCTTGTACTTTTTTTCCCCTTCGTAGCACTTAACCAACCAAATTTGAGAGCCCATGGTACTGTCTGTTTTATAAATGGCATCACCATTTTCTGAACTGAACATTTTATATAAAGAGAATCAGATAACATGGTTCTTGAAAAACTGTAAAAGGCTCAAATGCCAAAACAGTAATAATAAAGTATTTCCACGTAAGCATAGATCCCCATTATTTTAAATCACATACATAAACACACTCATCAGAAACAAAGTAAATTCCGGAAAGCGTGATTTCCTTACCTTTGAGAGTTCCATTCCAGGCCCACACTGTTTGCAGAGGATACAGTTTCCAGTCTGATCCCTAAATTCTTGTTCTCTGCAGTCTCCAGTCTCACAAATTACCCTACTTAGCTAAAAAAAAAACAAACAAAACCCACCAAAAAGGTAAAATCATCAAAATGTATTACATCTGAGAAACAAATTCATGTTTTGATCTTAAAAATAAGTTCCTGCGTCATCAAAAACTTTTAATATGTCAATGAAAATTAACTATCTAACTCCAAATATGACTGAGTGGCCTGAAAATTAAAGGGTCTCAGTAATCAGTGACTTGCAATAATTTTACAGTTTTTAGAAGATTCACTTGACATTAGGCACCTGTGGAATGTTAAAATACTTTATTGTTTGAACATGAGTTAAATTTCTCACCTTAACATTATGAAAAATGCACATGACCACTTATTTACTAAAGCAATTTTCATGACAGTAAGCTACATCACATCCCATTTAATTGCGTCATTTATTTGTGATCTTTTATTTTTCTAAAGATGCCACAACAACTGAATAAATGAGGTAAGACCTATTCCTTTAAACATATGTACTGACAGATTCTAAAAGATCACTCATACCTTATGGAAATTTAAAAAAAAAAAAAAAAAACACAACCCCAAACCTGTATGAATACTATTTATTTTAAATTTTACTATCACTTTCTATTTAACAGGTCAAATGAGAGCGAATCCGATTATCTAACTAAATCAGAAACTACAGTTATGAGAAATACCACAAGTAGTAATATCAGCCATGGAAAGTCACTGGAATTTTACTCAGGAACATTAGCTAACCCTGTGAGCTCCCTGAATAGAATTTTAAATTAAATGTTTACATAGGGGCATCCATCACAGAAAGTGTTCTCCACAACCGCTACTAAATTCTTACTTTGTGTATTTGTCTTTTCAGAAAGACTAAAGCCTTTCTGGTAGCTATGAAGCATTAATTGCCTAGCCTATGGCAAGCCAGAGTTAATTACGCTTACTAGACAATGTAGTTGTGTCCTATGCTATGTTCTGTTGATAAACTGAATACTCCAAACTCATAAATTACTTATATAGCATCCTGTAAGAAGAGATGGTCACTGCAAATTCCTCCCATCTCAGAAGTGAAGCAGTACCACCTTCACAGCACTTTACTGGCCTCTGTGTTCTGTCCTAGTCCACTCCTTTGTCCACAAAGAGGCTCTCAAGGTACAATATTATAAGTGAATGCGAGGAGGAGCAAGGAATTATACAAATAAGTTGACCAAGTTTACTTTCAAATCAGTAAAACGTGTATGCAATTGTCTGCGTATAGCATTTTAAGACTTCTAGTGTTAGCAGTAATGTGTAAAACAAAAGACACCATTTCTGAGTTCAAAACAGTTTTTTTTCAACACAGGGTACAAAAAAGTTAATTTTTAATTTACCAAATATGCTAGTAAAATTATGAGCATCTTCAGTTTATCATCTCCTTGTAATCCTTTGGCATCCATTTCTTACAATTAAACCTTTCTCCCTAGAAAAAATATAAAAAGGGGGGGGGGGAAGAGAAAAAATAATTATATTTAAATTGTTTAAATTTAAATTGCAGAAGTCATATGTCCATAATACTTCATGTCACTCAGCACATCAAAATATATACTCTCAATGCTATTAACATATTTCAGATGGATGCCTGGAAGCTGCTAAACAACAAATATAGGCTTTAAAAATCATATTCCTTTTAAAGGTAAGACAGTAAACATGAAGTTTCTATAGCTTTAATTCTCAAAAGAGGAGATTGCTATCATTCTAGACATGAGAATATCAAAATTTGTAAATCTAACATCCCTAACATACCTTTCTTGCTTGTTAGACGCCCAGTCAAGTACATGATCAAGAGACAAAAATAACTTTCTTCAGATATGCCATATATCAAGACAAGACATATCTGTTCATGGGAATATTCCTTCTGTATTGCAATGTCGAGCAGAATGGGTTTGCCTACTGACTAACATAACCTCTTCTTATTTCATTCTGCAAGCCACTGGAGGCATACACAGAATCTGTTCTTACAACCTACCTAAAGGATATTGCTTCTAAAGATGTGTTAACATGACTGTTTATGATCTGGTAGGTAAAGACTATTATAGAAGACATTACAGAGAGCATAACCAAATTACGTCCTGTCTTAGACAATTTTAATCATAATCTCAGAAAAGAATTAAAAATGGATTATAAAGCCTTGCTCAGTTATTTTTTAAGAAGCAGTAACGAACAAATGACTACAAAAAAAGAGAACTATTTGAAAAGATTATGGAAAGGAAGTTCTAGATTAGGATGTTTTGTTGGGTTATTAAATCAACAAACATTGCATCCCCACAATTATTAAGAATATTGTGCCCAGACAACAGAACACTTTTTCTCTGCTTACTTTTCCTTCTGGTTATTGGATTATCTGTGTTAAAGTCCAGTTTCTTACTTTTTGGTTTTGTTAGTAACCTGGAAATGCAACTGTAAATTTTAGTTTCAAAATCTAATAATAACAAGAAAAGAAAATCCACCTTACACAACACGGTATTTGAACTGGATCCTAATATACCTAATATGACAGTCCTATAATGTAATTGCTTTCAGCCACATGTGAAAATTAATGTGTAAAACATTTCTGGCCTACTTCAGAGCCTAAGGACTGATGTTTAATTATGCTGTTTTAAAAGACAAAAAATTTTTATAATTTAAGGGTAGAGACTGACAAATGAAATGATGGAACTCAAAACATAAGGAATACTATAGAAAAATATTAAGAACAGTTGCAAAATGCTTTACAACTTTGAACTACTGCAATAATATGCTTCCAAAAAAAACAACCAGAAATTAGCATAGATGATAATTAACACACAATTTCACATTTTATTGCATGAATACCCTAGTTAACAAATTTTAATCAATAAGGAGAAAGTATACTTCAGTGGCATTATTGATATCTTTTAAGATAAGTTGTATTTTCAAGTGCAAAAAGAGCTGAAGTCTCTGAGGAAGAACAGAACAGGCAAAGATGTGTCAGACAGAACTCTATGGGAAAGCCAAGATTACATTTTTATGGTTATTCTAACTTAGTGATGGTAATGGTCCATAGGTCAATGACAATTATCAATTATATGCATGGCACCGTGGGTAAAATAAGAGGACATTCTATCAAGTAATACAAATAACTTTTTTTCATTCATTTTTTTCATTCAACATAGTATCATAGTATTCATAGTATTCAACATAGATTGAATACATAACAGTAATCATAGTATTCAACATAGGTTGCTTTTTTTAAGTCTGAGAGAAAAAATAAGGCAAGAAACATGAAATGAAAAATCTCAGAATTAATTCTGGATGACCAAAACACAACCATTTCATCTAAAAAGTACTGTAGAACAAGGAGAAAAGTGAAAAATGAGAGTCAACAAATTTTAAAAGTTATTAAGTGCACAAGGTTGTCATGAGAAGGTGACAATGATAAGGCTGAAAAAAAATAGGTATATAGGAACAAAACAATTTCTAGTAATAGCAAAGACCAAACAGTGAACAGAGTAGCAGGAAAAATACTTTTAAGGGAACTCAGAAATTTCAAGAAATATTCCTCATCTATTTTTTGAAAGATAGCAAATGGGTAAACACACACATCATATATTATATCTGCTGGCCAAAAAGTAACTGAATATCGGCTAAGTAAAAAAAAGATTAGATAAGAGACAATTTGAGAGACTTTGCACCTCAATAACCTTGAAAAAAGTATCAAGAAAGCCCTAATCTTGATCATGTTCAATTTTGCTATTCATTCCCTTTGGAATGTTAGAAAAATTCAGGAGTGGTAATGTCATGAAAAAAAAATAAAACTAAGAATAGTAGTACAATAAACAACTCTTTACTATATTACAGTAAAGCAGTCCTGTAAAACAAGCTTGACTTCACTTGATTCAGAAAAGATAGTAAAGCTAAAAGTCTAAAAGCTAAATGAAGTCAACTGATTGAACATTAAAGAATCATGCTGAAATTAATAGGATTTGGGAGAAAATCCATATTCTTGATTTCATATAGCAATAGTGGAAAAAAATAAATACTTCATATGTTTTGTAAATTGCTATAGGAGTTAAAACTTCACAGAAGTGTGAAGGGAAATAAAGCTGTAAATGTAATGAGTTGCTTAGAATTGAACGTCAAGTGATTAGTCCAAGTCATATCAATTTATAGTCATTATATTACTTAGAAATAAATAAAATATGGTACAGTTCTAATGCAATTATGACCATCTATATAATACTACCAAAATCTCAAAACTAGGATTCTTCATAAGATTAAAAGTATGTTTTATTGTAAATGTCAATATTTTCTTTTGCTTCTGAAAACAGATGCGTGACATATCAAAAAGAAATTGAAGGTTGTAATAATTGTATATTTTTATGTCAAGTTTCATACAGAATTGTTAATACAAACAATACTGGTGAGCTGCACTAAGCCAAATGATCTAAAATATGGAGCTGTAACAAAATCTAAGAGGTCTGTTTTTCCTGAGCAGGTAACCTGAAGTATGGAAAACTAAAGAAAATTAAGAACAGCCCAATTAACTTCCCAGTAGATTAGTTATTTCCAATAAAACTATATTAGCTTTGTAATAAAGGTATATTAATCCTACACCTTTTTTCCAATATGTAATTACCTGATGATTTAATATTGGTAAAAAAAGAAAAATCAGTACATAAACAATTTATTAAAAGCAATATTGAAACAAAGCTAATTATGTACTTTCATGCTTTTAATATTCTGTAGTCACAATTGAAATAAAAAACAAGTCCTTAACAGAAGGTAGTAGAGCATCACAAGCAGTATTAAAAATCTTGCTGGTCATGCTGACAGCTTGTATTTCAATTTTGGAATTGCCATGTCTTTACAAGATGGTCTTCCCATAGTATGTGTCTCAAAGATTTTTATAACAGAGAAAGCACACAGTAAAGCATCCTGTACCAAAATACATTCTGTTGACTTAGGTGTGAAATTTAATGCACCTGTGAAATATTTTCTATTTAAAAAAAAAATCTACTGCCTTTATAACACTCTTGCCAAATCCAACAGCTTCAATCATCAGGAGTTCCACAACCCGGAGTAAATTTTCAAAATCAAGTGTTTTAGAACTGGCATCAAACTATTGTGGACTTCAACTTATCTATACACTTTATTAAGCTCAATTTTTTGACTGATCATTATGGGATTGATGAGATCTTGTAGCTTTAGGTCTAGGATGTATCTTCTATAATCAACAAATATTCCAAAAGAAGCTTGCAGGTCTGTGTACCTTAAACATCGGTGCACTTCAGTAGCTTTAGCACCAAAACACGTTCAAATAAGTTCAGCACACATGTACGAATGCCTGTGGTACTGGACCATGCCATCATCATGCCCACTGTCACTGTTCCTACTAAAAAATCACCTAAGATTATAAACTAGTAATAGTATTAAATATATATAGTGTATATATATACTATATATATAGTATTATATACTTATAGTATATAGTATATATAGTATATATATATATACTATATATACTATATACTATAAGTATATAATACTATATATATAGTATTATATACTTATATATACTTATATATAATAATACTTATTATATATAAGAAAAAGAAATAAACCAGTGTTCAAGAAATAATCATTAGTTAAGAGCACAAAACGTTTCTTTCGTTACAACATTTTCATAAAAATAATGCAAAGGCACATTAATAACTCATTGTATTGAAAGCAAGGCCCAAAGGAGTCGTAACTGTGCCAGCCACATGTTTCCTGTATCTATCTCCAGTTCGGTCAAAAGTCCTGCTTAAAAAGCAGACACTGCAGCACTTCACAATATGTTGCCATTGGGCAAATTTGTTCTGTCATGATATCAAGCGGCATTACACTGATGTCTGTTGGACACAAGCCATTCACCTCATATGCTTTCAAGTAATAACTAGAGCAAGTTTTTACCTCTAAAATATGTGTGAGCAAACAGAGGTTCAATACATGAAAAGATTATTTATTCTTGTCCAGATACTGATATTTAAAATGCTTCAGTTATCCTCGATTTTATTAAAAGAAAGAAAACTGGGGACATGGTTTTTTGAGGTCAGTACATCATTCAAAATACATCTTACTAGGTTAAGAGTAATATGCTTGTCCAAAATACTAGAGAAAAGCAATCATCATTTCTAATGTACTGAACTCAGGAGAGAGAACTTCCATTAAGAAATGTGGCTGCATAATTTTAAGGTAGTGTGGGGCTTACTTTGCATATGTATAAAGAAAGCAATATTAAACAATAAGTTAAGAACATGTAATAAATGTATTGTTCGAAGAACCTCGAGCTTTCCAGGGTTCTAGAATCTGCTGTCCTCCAAAATTCACTTCTTTGTTTCCTTGCTCCCCTGAGCAGTAGTCGTCATTATATTTCAAAGTCCATGTCAAAAAAACATTTCTTCTTTCTCTCAAAAAAATTAA